CTTACTGGCACTTAGTAGGGAATAAGAGACTATAATCCCCATATCATCTCTCTACAGTGTATTCCCTCATTCCTTACTACCCCTAAACCCTAAACAATAGGTTCCTTGATTCCCTGCTAAGAACCAGCCCTAAGGATTCAATTACTCGATAATCATATACTTCCCCAAAACGTGTACTATAATTACTATTACCCAAATCCCAATTACCTAGTTATTGGGTACTTGGACCCTTAGGGCCCTAAACTTATGTCCCTACATACCCCTATATACTCCTTAACCCTAAATTCGTATATGTCCCCCTGTGTCCCTTTAGGTAAGTAAAGGGAGAGCGGCGTCTGTTGGCCTCTCATGGGCTTCCATGCTGTTCTTCGGATTGGTTCTCTCACAAGCTGGCCCTACCGAATTTGCCAGGCCAGGGTCGGTTAAGGTTTCTTTAGTTTAGGGTTTGGGGTTTAGGGTTTAGGGTTCCAGGCTTAGGGTTATTTTTTACAGGCTATACCTTGGGCATAGCCCCTGCCACTGATGGTGGTCACCAGTGGGTCACTGAAATTCATACTGAGGCCGCACCTAGACCCCCCTACCCAAACCCTTGGTTGGGGTACCTAACTTTGTGCCTAGCATATTCTGTATACCAAATTGGGTACCCTAAAAAGGCCTGGATAAGCACAAGTGCTGCTATACCACAATTACTGGGTGGTGGCCTAAGCCAAGCTGAGGGCCAACTACAAACTCAGATTCCTGTACCCTCAGGGTCCAAGTACCCAACACAAACTGCTGTGGTTTAATAAGGGAATTGTGGTACCCCCACCTCCCAAAATTGGAACCCCATTACAACAAAATATCAAGGCAATAGGTCCGAATTTGGGGGTTGGGACCCAGAACCTCTTATTACAATCAGCGCCGTGAAGCACGTACTACAGTTGGGGTTTGGGATATGGGATGGTTTGTCCTGGGTTGGTTAGATGGCTCCCTAGATCTTATCTAGAGCTTGACATACGCGGCAAAAGCCACTACAGACGCCTACAGAGGCATAGACTGGGTGATTATGGTAAAGACGATGCACTTCCTGCTCACTCCGCAGTATCTGCCAAAAATGACTTCATGTTTATATGAGCCTCATATAACATAGCAACTAACCCTCTTACACTCACCAAAGCCCACAATAAAACCGCAGCTTTCTAAACATCATTCATGGCATTCTCCGAGTCGGTGCTGCCAGAAACATAAGAGTCTGAGACCAGTGCGATGCTGATGGGGACTGCTGCGGCTCTGGCCAGAAAGGCAGGCCTGCTGTTCAAGCGAGAGGCCATGGCATCATTAAGTCATGAGCGCAATGACAGCAAGCACCACCAGCAACAACAAAAAAACAGCAACAGCAACCGCCTGGGGGCAGCAGCAGCAGCAGCAGCAGCAAAAACGCAAAGAACCATGAGCATAACAAGCACCGCAAAAAAAAAATGACGCAGCAAGAACCACGCCGTCGCTGCTGACCCCCCGCTACAACCCACCGCCTCCCGTGGCAGCAACAGAATCGTAATTAGCCGCATTCGTTGCTGCTGGGGAGCGCGGAGGAAGTGGAGCGGAAGTAGAGCTTAGAAATAAAGCGAGTCGCCAGCACAACGAATACCAGTACTCACTTAACGGCGTTCGTCAACCGTTCGTCTTCGTGATCCTTCAAACTGTACGTATGTAGTAACGTGACAAATGCGACAATGACCAAGAGTGACAACTACCATTCAGATACAAGTGCCTCTGTGTGTGTGGTTGTTGCTACAGTTGATTCACTGGTATGTCCGTAGGCAAGGGACGGCCACCTTCAGCCATCGCCTGAAGCCTATCGTGTATCTGTAGGACAAAGTCTCAAGAACACCGGCCTTCAGACTCTGCCCTCATTTCATGGTGTGTTTTTTTTTAATGTACTGCGGCATACTGGACCACATCCTTATGCTGGATATGGCAAGCTATATTGCTGCAGAAACGGGTGGGAGTGATGTAACGATGGCTGAGATCAGCACCCACAAAGTAAGAGCCCTTCGTCAGCCCCATGATGAACTCGAATATGCACATGTAATCACAATTCTCCTTCCGCAGGACTTTTTTGCCGGATGCCCAAATACAAAACATGGACTCGGAAAATCCCAACCTCCCTCCACAATGGCCGGATCGCAGAAAGTCAAAGACCATAACATCATACTTCCTTCAGAATGTTTAAGGTGTGTTTGTGGTCCCAAGACAAGGCCCATGTTCCCTGGGGAGGACATGGGGGTAGACCCTTTGCCAAGACACAGAAGGCCATAATTTTCTAGCTGGAGAAGCATAACTGTGAGCTCCAAGTAAGTTATCGTACGGCATCCCGCGAATGACCACAAACCCGTGCTGACCAAACAGCACTTCTGTAGTAAACTTAGGCGGAAACGCGTGCAATCTAACAACCCTGTCCCTACGGATCCAAGTCTATAGATAATATCTACATTGGGCCCTGAAGCCTATAGAAACCACCTACGTTGGGCTATTTGGATCCATATACACCCCCTGTAAGCTCCTAGTTTCCATTTCAGCTTTCACTTACTTTTCCATGTGATTCTCCATTACTAGGGTAGTACAATGTAGTACATGGGCTAATGGGATCCCTAAGGCGTGGTTCACACTTTCATACGAACAAATGTTTCATCCCTAAACCCGAAACGCTCAACCCTAAACCCTATGCCATGCCTAGAACCAAGCTGAAGGTGTTTGGGGTCTTCATAAACACGTGAAGGTACTTGTTGGTGCAGTGGATGGGCAAAATCCAGCAGTACCTCTACGGATCCAAATAGCCCAGTGTTGGTAATATTTCTAGATGGTAGAACCTAACGTAGACAGTGTTTACAGACTTGGATTTCCAGGGTACTCCATATACCGGAACCCTAGGAATAATGGCATCGCCGTTCACTGACCGTCCTGCCAGGCTTTGCTCATCAACACCTGATTCACAAACCTTTACATGCGCTGTGCTTTGTGCCCGAACCTTCAGCTCCTGCTTCATCAGCACCAACTTCATCGCTCAAGTCCTCCTTCCAAAGAATAGGGTTTGGGGCCTTCTAAAGAACAGTTGCGCACTAACAGCTTAGGGTTCAGAGTTATCGGTGCAGGGTCTAGCGCTTAGGGAGTTGAGTTTCGGATTGTGGGTTTTGGGCTTAGAGTCTAGGGTGTAGCACATACATGGGGATCTCATGTAAGGTCACCCGCGCAACCAATGTATCAATAACAATACTAACAGAAGAATACAAATAAAATATCATACTATATATAAGAGCCATATGGGCTGACGGTTTCATCCGCCTCCAACTACTGGGAGTTTGGAAGAAGGGGTTGGCAAGGCGCAGGAAGTTTAGGGTTTAGGAACTGGTGAGGTCTACTCATTAGTTGTTGGTAGGGAATATGGGAATATAATGCCTGTATACTAGATTTTTCTTATTCGCTACTAACCCCCAGCAAGGGGGCATTACATGCTTTTCTGTGTGGCCACTTGTGGTTCATGATCGTGTTCATGAGGACGAAGCAGGGCAATATTCCTCAATCTAGATATCAAGCACCTCCCACCAAAAACAAATCGAACTCCGCAAAGAGACCTTCATATTGAGGAAGACAGATTTAATGTTGGAGATGTGGGGGTGATTAATATCAGCACGATGGTTCGGGAAACGGAGGCTCAGCGTTGCTGTTTTCAACCTTCTTAGATTTTTGCAAGCCCCACCTTCTGATTCACAAATACAGAAAAACTACAGGCAAAAGGCAAGACCCCAAAGCAGAAGAATCACGCGTCCTGAGGGTTGGGAGGTGAGAACCGCAACAACGAATGAACATACATCCTGAATCCTCAACCATGGAACCTGAACACCTGGAATCTCAGATGAAGATAATTCAATCCTCGTCGTCATCGTCGCTGCCGGCAGGCGGAACTTCACGCGCCTCCAAGCAATTGATGATTTGCCAAAGGTCTATCAGGGATCTAGTGTCGTGGGAGATGTATAGGCAAAAAAACCTTAGGAGTCCAAGTAACCAAATAAGGCCTACATTGGGCCCTAAAGTCTGTAAATATTCCCTACTCTGGGCTATTTGGATTCCAAAAAAATGGTAGAGCCTTGCCATCGACCGAAAAGAGTAAGCACTTGACTCGAAACTGTCAACTTTAAGGTAATGAACACTTTCAGGTCAACTCTGTCGTTTGTCCAACTTGTTGCTCTACACTCATACGCACACTGCGCAAATGGAGAAGCAAAAAACAGAAACAAAGAGAATGTGGAAGCAGACTGTCCCCTTTTGAATATGCGGGTCTGCCAACTGTAGAGTTCCCTTGAATTCCATTGATAGGGTTTCCTGCGATACCTAAGGGGAACCACTTTGATTCTGGAAATGCCTGTATGCACAAATTGACTTGGACCACGTAGCCATCCGCAGGCCTCCAGAACTTGTCTGGTCAAACAGTTTCCGCTTGCCTGACTTGCGCTCAGAGCTTCCGGAAGAAATCCTACTTTTTGATGGATGGAAAATTTATCAGGTTCTGCAGACCCACGCGTACTGGTATAATGGCGAGATACAGGGACTCGACTGGGACCCGGACACAATGTAATGTTACTATCACTTGTGTTCACTCTTCATGCGTGTTGGGAATCATCCAATATACTCCCCCGAAGCCTGTACTAGAATCAATACCAAGTCCCTGAGTACCCAAGTGTTAGGTCCATGAACCTTTCGGGTCCAGTATAACCCTAGGGATCCAAATAGCCCAAAGTAGGTAATATTTACAGACTTTGGGGCCCAATGTAGGTATTATTTGTAACTTAGATCCTTAGGGTTAAGCAGGCCAAAAGCCAAAACCATGTTCTGCAAAGACTGTCCCAGTGGCAAGCATTAAGAGCTGCTTGTTCCAGACCATGGCGTGCACTCAAGTTAGATTCCGGTCAGGGGGGTTAGGGTTTAGGGATTAGGGATTAGGGTTTGGGGTTTTGGGTGTATGAGGTTCAGGGGGTGTGGGATTTAGTGTCTGAGGTTTTGCGTTTGAACCGCCAAAGACTTGAATTGCTCAGGAGTTGAGGGCTTGGGGTGAAAGGGTCGGGCTAGCAGCTTCTTTGGGTGATGCAGGTCCAAGTAGGACATAAGTTGGGAATTCTTGCCGTAGGCGACTATATAACCCAAATATACTATACTAGCTTCCATGTTCTTTTCCATTATCCCTATATAACCCAAAGATCTTCTCTGACCTTTGGCTAGCTGGGAATGAAGGAAGGGACAAGAATATAGAAACTACTATACTGGGTTATATTATAGGGACTACTACTATAAGGATCCATTCCTTCATTCCTAGCTGACCAAACGTAAGTTCTCTGACCCATACTGCTGCATTGGAGCCAGTATCTGGGCTTATTGTATTACCTGGATGCTATTATTGTCTGCTGCTGGCGCTGCCTCGAGCCGTCAGAGATTGACGAAGCCAACTCAGTTTGCTACAAACAGCACGCGGGACATTCTGGATAGCACTGCTACGTGGGCCATGTGATAGACGACTGTCAGTACCAAATCTGCATCCTTAGGCATCCTTGGGCTGTAGGAGAGGGACTAGTTCGGACAGTGAAGTCTTGCTTGGATGTCCTTTTTGCTGGCACGCACGTGGCGTTAATGTTCTTCCGACGTGGCAGCTGCTCTTGACTCTTAACGCTTCTGCTTTTACTGGTCGCAACCAACCACCACGTCGCCTACAGCTACCTGTCATCAAACATAAAATCTGGGACAGCAGCCTCATCGTCTTCAGAGTCTTCGTCCAGTGCAGGTGTCTCATCGTGGCTCAAAACAGGCTTCGCTGGCTCAGATGCGTCTGGCACCAGCTCCTCGTCGTCATTATCGTCCTCCGAGGACTCAATCGACTCCTCGGACTCGGACCTTGGCCGTCCCTTTCCGAGAGAACCTTTGCCACTACCCTTAGGGTTCGCCCCTTTCCTTGGAGAAGCAGCTGGCATAACGGACTGCCTGGAAGGCATCCCCTTACCTCCGCCTTTCGGCTCCTCACGTCGTGAGCCTGGCGTGGGCTTCTGCACACGGCCCATGGCAAGCATCCGGGCTGTAGGAGGTGGTGTCCTCGCGCGCGTCTGTCGCGCTGGAGCACCTCTGCGACTGTGTCTCTTGGCGTGGAGTTCATCATCCAAGGCCTGCAGCAGGAAGGCAAAACTCCTCACGGCCATGCATCTCAACAGGCCCGCATGATGACATGCCCATCCCAACCATTGCCCACTATGACATTATGAGCTGACACCGTAACCCAGCATGCAAAAATTCCCGGCGATGCGCCTGAAAGGACTGGGTGAGCGCCCCATGCTCCTGCACTTGAGGGTTTTGGGCGGAAACGTTTGGCATGAGACGCACAGCTGAACCGTCTACAAGCTCTCAGAAGCCCTGAAACGGAAGACCCATGGTGTTCCTGCACGGACAGCCCACATATGTAAACAGCAATACTCCTCAGGAACCCTCTATACTAAAACCCGACCTGTTATGTTCCAGATTTTGGCGGGTGAGGCCACCGGATTATCAATCCCCTCCCCACAATTTTGATCCTCCCCCAACTGTCTCATAAGCAATAGTGCCGGTATACACCTGGAGCTGAGTAGATTTAACAACAAACGTCCAGCTCTCGTAGCATAAGCGGCAGGAATTCGTTTGTTTCTCTGACTGCATGGCCCAAGAAGACAAAACCAACTGGCAAGCTGTTCTTCCCTTCCTCGCGCATCTCGTTGTAGACCTGGCAACGGCTTGTGCACATTTAGGCTGTATAGGGCATTGATGAGGATTCCAAGAAAGGCTTTCAGGCACCTGATTCCTGTGTGTCATTCTCAGATTCAAAGATCTTCAGATGCTTATTAAAACACTATGTGAAGCAAAAGAATATGTAGAGGAGCAACCTTGTTGGCTCTGTTGATGGATTTTGGCACATCTTGAACCCTACTTTCAAGGTCCAGGTATGTCATGAGGAGGACCCTTCATTTTTGGACGCTTCTACATCCCAGCCTGATGCAAATGACACAGGCCCAACCCAGACTGCGTTGGCATTCAAAGCTACATGTTTTTTGGCATGCAGCAGGCCGTCGGAGAAACAGAGATGGACAACCAATATACCTGTAGTTATACATGGGTATACACACTGATGAATAGACACGCACCACGAAGACCGCTATCTGATGCGCATCATAATGTAACAGTGAAGCAGCTTCGCAACAGCAAATGAAACTCCTAAACCTCAAATAGTAGTTTGGATTTTTCCGTTCTCCCTATATAGCCCCAATAGTACAAACTAAATAATTCTGACCGTCTATTTGGCTACTACACTGCACTTGTTGCCAGGGCAGGTGCAGACAAGGCCGAGATAGGAATTCCTCAACACTACACGGGTGATTGTTCGAAGAACCTAAAGGGATATATGGGGATATATTAGCGTTTAGGGTTTGGGGGTATACGAGGGTATAGAGGGGGATATAGGGATATGTAATATTTAGGGTTTACTGCTTTAAGGGTCTAAGTACAAAATAGTTAGGTACTTAGTAGTAGTAGTAGTAGT